AATAGAAAGGATGCGAACCACGTTGTGTACGTTCGCCATGCACTCTGAAATTAATGCGAGTTTTCTCATAAAAGCACGAACCAAACTACCATGCCAATCACAATTATTATGAAATGAAACACACTTTTTACACGCAATTTTAAAGAATATCATCGACGCCCAGTAAAAACACTCTGGGCTTATAATCGTGAATGCTCTCAACTCGATAAATACCAAGTAAAAATATAGGGATGGGCTTCATACTCGGGAGGGGCTTACGATCGGGGAAGTACGGTACTTTAACGCAATTGGGCTTTCACTCTCAGAATAATGTGATTCAAACTCATAAGGCTCTAACTCAAGTTTTAAAAAGCACATTGTGCATATAAAAGTTGAGTTTATACTAGTAGTACACAATGCTTGGCAGCATGAACGGCTATGTACAATGGAGAATACGAATGCGATCAGATACTAAAACGTCATTGCTTTGAAAAACACCCGGCTGTTAAATATGTCCGTTCGTTATTTATTCCCCTCCATAAATGGCCTCCATGGTGTTTAATTGCAAGCACTTCAAATGCCCTATCCAAGCTACAGTTATAATTAAAACAAAATTAAACCACTGCAATATTATTTTGAATACAGTTTAGAATATACACAACTATAAATTAGGGCCGCATTTAGGTTCGCTTTAACCTCTTCACCACCTGTTCTCTTTTTTCATCACAAATTCACAAAATAGTCTCGTTTATAGTCTGCACATTCTTTCAGAAGATTGGAACAAAAAGAGCCAAATTTTTTTAGTAAAAACTAAAAATTGACTCAGATTTTGTCTGTTGGGTCCAAAATTAGAAATATTTTTAGAAATATTGGAGAATATAAAAAAAGAAAAGCAGAAAAATGTGGGCGTGAAAGTCTGGTGCTGAAAAGGTTAATAATGTTTCAGTTTAATATTTCAAACTCACTGACCCGTATCATATCTTGTACTTTACCCTCTTGATCGTCTTCCCACTTCACAACCATGGTGAACTCAGGTACTGATTCAAAGTGTAAATAAAACTTCATTCTGCTGTCATGTAAGAGCAGGTACCTTCTCTATGTTCCTAAAAGATAAAATGTCAAAGTTGAAGAATCTGAAAAATATAATGATGAGATGAACAGAACGGGCACCAAAATAAACTCCTCATTGCAACATTCCTTGGAATATTATTAGTTGTAATTGACAGGGGCAGTTTAAATTTGAAATGAAATTGTATGCTTGTTATCAAGTAATAATTCACTGTATTTTAACCTATTTAACCTTTTCACCACTGGACTTTCTTGCCCAAATTTGTCTGCACTTTTTTTTAATATTCTTCAATATTTCTGGAAAAGAACCACAATTTTAGAGCCAACAGACGAAATTTAAGTAAATTTTTAGTTTTTACTCAAACAAATTTGGCTATTTTTGTCCCAATCTTTGAAGGAGAGTGCAGACTATAAACAGGAATATTTTGTGAATTTGTGATGAAAAGAGAGAACCGGTGGTGGTGTAATATTTTAATTTCAATATAAATAGTATTGTTTGTGAAACACGTAGTATTAGCTGCATGCAATTTTAGCGAATTTGACTCAATGTACGGTAAAAATTAGCAGAATCTTAATTTAGCTAAAGTGCCAATAATCTCAATGTGAGAATATACTTTCTGTTAAATTAGCGACATTTTGAATTAGCTAAATTATAAAATTAACATGCTAGCTGAAAAGATATTTGAATTTGTGTAGTTTTTATTGCAGTCTACTTACATATTGTTTACAATTACTGGCAGTTCTGAAAGTGTATACAGCATAAGATTTCATTATTTAATACTGTGGAATACTTTATTTTTGCTGGTATTAATTTTCGCTGAAAAGGCTTTTTGGGCGTTTTGCTTTGAATTTATTTTCACTGATTTTTCATGAGTTTAATGTGAAATATAGGGAAAAAAGTATATTCGCTGGATTTTATTTTCACGGAATCATCCCTTCAGCGAAAATAGCGAAAATAAATTCCAAGCGAAAATAAAGTATTCTACAGTAGTATTTTTACCACCCAACACCCCTCACAAAAATGGTTGTGTCCAGGAGTGATATAGCTAACTTGTTAGGTTGAAAGTGATTTGATAAAATCAAAACAAACATCGCTAGAAAAGAATGTTCCAAGGTACATTGCAATGTTGCAAGGAAAATTAATGGGGTGTGGTTTTCATGATGAATGTATTAATTATTTTTGTTGACACCCATTGTAACAATATACTGTGGAATACTTTATTTTCGCTGGAATTAATTTTCGCTGAAAAGGCTTTTTGGGCGTTCTTTATGGAATTTATTTTCACTGATTTTTGATGAGTTGAATGTGAAATATAGGAAAAAAAGTATATTCGCTGGATTTTATTTTCACTGAATCATCCCTTCAGCGAAAATAGCGAAAATAAATTCCAAACGAAAATAAAGTATTCTACAGTACTATCGGTACTTAATGGAGTTACATCCGAGAGACAATGACGAAATTCTACCGTAGAACAGCCATATTGTTTAAACAAGTGTGGAACTCTGGTGGTAATATGAATTGTTGAAAAATATGAAAGTTTGCATGAAATCTTCATTTCATTATAGATTGTGAAAAATGAAACTCTCCATCATACACGGATCAGCAAAATTCAGTTAAGAAGTCTCATTAGCATTGCTGACAACATATCCTAAAGTTCATGTAATTCTAGGTTCTAGGTTTTATCTACACAGATGTGTAAATGTGATTCTGTGAACATTTTTATGATGCAATTACATATATTTCAGCATTATTGCAAAAATTCTTTCAACGAGGATACATATTTAATGCGATATCTGTCAGTTTTCAACACATCTAACATATGAAACATGTATTAAAAGGAAAGAGCATTGCCAGGCGATGGACGCGGGGCTCTATGGCAACGACCGCAAACGTATCGTGTCCAGCCATTGGATGGCCACATAGAGGTCAAAATACGCGTTCTATTTTTGCGCGTTAAATTTGGCTCTTCCGTTTCACCCCCTCTGGAATGTTCTACTTTCGCAGCCTAATCGCAGGTTTTTTGAAAAACGTCAAAAAAACACAAGAATTAGTCCAAATGTTCCTGTTTTGGGCGGACTATTGATAGAGAATAATGTCTTTATTACAAAAATGCTGAAAAACCGTGAGTTTTTGCCTTAGTTATTTTTTTATTGGTGAAAAACTGCGAACTCGGCAAATTTGGTTGCACAACTTCCCTTTATCATATACACCCAGCGACACCGATGCCAGCTGACTGTGAGCACCACATAGTGAAATTGTCATGATATTGACTTAGAGGGAGTGTGACAATATTTACTTTCAATTTGTATTCTGTTTATTGTTGGTACTGTATCTCAAACGATGTACGATTTTCTTGTTTGTCGTTCATACACATAAGTCAAAGTACTTCTGCGATTTGGTAACCCTAAAGTTGACTGTCCCTTCCCCCTCCCCCCTCCCCATTTAATATTGTGGGCACTGGTCGTCATGCCCGTCTAGCACCGATATCGAATCGATGGTGAGTTGATAATCAACCAGCAAAGTAACAATAACACGCACGAAAAAAACGACATATGTTTTCAACCAATGAAGTTTACTTTCGAAAAACACGCACCTGTAATTATTGACTGGTCGACTTGAACTTGTTTCCTAACTTTCTTTCACATTCGGCCATCATTACTAAGACTTATGGGTAATGCTGGTTTTCATGATATTCCATTATTTTTAGGGTGACATATTTTGCTCTTTTTGCGGTTTCAAATAATGGAAGCTTGTCAATACAGACTGTGAGCTCCAAATGACTTGCCCCGATATTAAAATTGAATATTCCCATTTATGGTACCATTTCACTGTGATTTGTTTTATAACGTACGTAGTCGATTAAACAATACTGTACTCATCTTCCCGCGACTTTTCTCAGATAATGGTTAGGTCCAAAATGACATCATCATGACCCTCAACAGCGTTCACCATTTTGGGTGTGCCGGTCGAAATTGAATGCCTTCGTCACTGGCATAACTCATGAATTTCCGCTTAAGTCCTACACGGATGATATTTGCTTCCCCACATACGGTAAGTATCGAATTGTACTAATATCTGTTGACGTGTTAATGGAGGAAAACAACAACGCGATGGTCCCACTACAGGACTGCCTTGCCAAACGCAAATAACTCAGATCGGATCACGCACATGCATATATCCGGCAGGTGTTGGCTTGGTCTTGCAAAATTGTTTGTACTGCCATCCAGTCACATTTTAGACCAGTTTCTCGATTTTCGAGATATTGTGGATCGAAAAGTAGCATATCATTAAATGAATCTAGGTCAGACGATAGCATTTCGAGACCGATAATTAAATAGTAGTTTATTTTAAAAAAATATTCATATATGGTATGTGTATATGATACATTAAATTCCTTTCTTTTTGTGTACGAGTATACCGTTTCCGCTCACCTGAGACTACCGTTGGCTGACAATTGAAATATTACGATATGATCACGCCGCACTCGTTAAAGCTTCATCGTCCCTTCCAAATATTGTTAGCACCACACCCCCCCCCCCCAAAAAAAAACACAAGATACACAGTTTCACAAAGTATTTTTTTTGGCTTTCCCTTTCTATGTATGATAAGAAAACAACTTTTCCCACACTTAGTTCGAACATTTTCTTGTCCTAGTCTGCGAAAGCTTTTCTTCCAGTTTTCAACCACCTGTTTACAGAAAGTTTAGACTTAAAGCGCGATGGTCGTCGCGCAGCGTGTGTTAGAATTTCATGTAAATAAACAATGTTATTTTACACGTGTCGCTATGAGTCCAATATCGAACAGGACGCGGCGCGACGACTGTCACCCTTCAATATTCCTGCACGTTTAACGTATTTAACATAGTAATTTGTAAACTATACAAACTGATAGAATTGAAGTTAATCATTATGAAAATCTAAATTTATCCACTGTGGAACTTAACCCCCAGGTGCTTAATTAATGAATGCCTTGGAAGAGTATGAGTATATGAGGCTACCCACAATTAATACAGTCTAACAATATTACCTGTGACTACAACTGATGTTATGTTTTGATTTGTGCCCATTTTCTTTTCTGATCTTGTTCGTTATCTACGTTTTAATTTATGATAACTTATTAATATATTGGCAAATATATTGTAAAACATCACACTATGGAGGGCGATTGTTATTATACCAGTATGATTTCTGTAAAGCCCTCCTCATTTTAATTGTACATGTCCTTCTACAGAGCTTGTCAATAAGAATATTCTTATAGCCCGGAACAAGAAAAATTGCCATTTAGACAGCTGAATAGTAACAGACCATAGAAAATATATTGGCAACAATTTTGGACAAGCGAGTTTAAAACTAATGTCAAGCTCTGCTTCCAGATAACTATAAATGTTCTGAAGAGGGGCATAAACAATTAAATTGGAAAGGGGCTGGAGGGTAAGTGGTGAGGGCCTCAAGGAGCTCCTTTATTTTTTATTCTCAGTTACTGATAGGTGGAGGCATTACAGTTGATTCAAATCGATAATATTGATAAAACCCATGAGGCTTATCTTTCATGACACCGCCCCTTTGTTTATCATACTGATCAGGAAAAATGTATAGGACAGCAGACAGCTATCAGCTGTTTACTAAAGACAAGACATGTTGATATATTATTTCTAGGGCGTCTACTTTCTTTTTAGTTGACAAGGAAGGTCATCAGAAATCATAGATAATCTGGTGCTGTTCTGTCTTCTAATCTATGATATTCAATTGTATTGAAGAATTAATTATCAGGGGTGAGGGTGTTAAATAAAGTTTCATTGCTAGAAAATCAGCTGTCAACTCTTCAGATATGGCTGCTTTAAGTTGTTACCGATACATATTTTGACAAAGCTAGAGTTCAAATTATATTTGGGTTCCCTATCGGCTAATTGGAGTATTGAACATCTTAGTTATAAGAGTTCCCAAAAATGAACATCCAAATAGTCTACAAAACTGTCCAAGTACCTTCAATACCGTACACAATTATGCTTATATCCAAACTTTAATGCAACTCATATTTTTAGAATGTAGAAGAATAGTAGTATTAGTACCGTAGTTTATTAAATTGTACCTTTTATAAAACTATTTTGAAACTGTAAAATAAAGAGTTTTTCAACATTATGATTATATTTTCATCTACAACTTATTTGGGGGGGGGGGGCTAATATATTGACCCTGACCTGAAAAATGCTGGTATGTAGGGTCCATACCTGACTTGCATGAAGTACCGGGGTAATGTAATTTAAGTTGCCATAGTGCCTACAGGTGATGTTTATATGGATACTCTGTTGGCAGTTGTGTTAACCGGGGTATAATTTCCTCTATATCTTCTTTCAAGTTATATACCATGTATTGTTTGTTTCGGTGAATGAACTGAAATAAGTGCATACATGCGATGCAGTTTTATTCATGAAAAGATTATGGGTTATTAAAAACCTATTTGAAGTACTGATACATTTTAAAATGGTGATTTTTTGGGGGAATTGAAATTAAGGTTGACAATTAACTGGGTGTTGCCACAACTCAGTCGTACATACACACACCTTTTAAGTAATTCCACTTATGTTAGTCATGTGTGTGTGCGTGAAGCATGACATTTGACCTGAATCTTGTGACATTTTTTTTTTCTTGCAGAATTGCGTGTAAGAACGCCAAGATCTGTGGTACGAACTCTTCACAAATACAACCATGGTTATCCTAACAAAGGTAATGTTAATACAAACCTATTTTTTGTTATAATAGAATTGTAGAATTTTAGTGACAACCATCAAGCTAAACGAACTTTGTCTGTTACACCTTTTTTGTGTATGAATGAAATATGGACGTCCACATGCTCAACAATTTATTTGCGTTCTCCAACTAAACTCCAAAATAAAATAAGTAAGGCTGCGGGTCCCAGCTTTTGAATTTGAAGATGTTTCTTGGATAATTTGTAGAAATGCTTATTTTTTTTTTTTTTGACACTCCTCTGGATGTGCACTTTGTATCTATTAGCTTGATAGTTGTTTATCTTGCATGACCCACTGTGTCCTTTACCTGGCACGGTATCCCTGCTGTGTAGTTACTACGAGTTCCTTCCACCGAGTACGTGGTTTAACACGCTGCATACTGTAAACGCCTTCTCAAATAGCCTTAAATAAAAGGTGACATCATCTGGCGATATGGTTAATACAATATATATACTGTAGAATACTTTATTTTCACTTGGAATTAATTTTGCTGAAGGGATGATTCTGTGAAAATAAAATCCAGCGAATATACTTTTTTCCTATATTTCACATTCAACTCGTCAAAAATCAGTGAAAATATTTTCCATACAAAACGCGCAAAAAGCCTTTTAAGGAAAAATATATTTCAGCTAAAATAAAGTATTTCACAGTACTTGTAGAAAACCTTTTAATGGGTCAAAACAAATTTATGAATAACGTACAGTACTGTCTGCAAGCAACTTAACATTTAAGCTGGCTTGAATCTAGCTTAGTGTGTTTTCAAAATTGCTATATATCTAAGTTATAATTTGCCTAAATATGTCTCATTAGTAATGTAGGTAAAATACGACAAAGAATAAGTTGAAATTATTGTTATTGACATTAATACTCACTTTTAAAAAGTAAAGCCACCAGCTCTACTTGAACTTGTCACTCTGAAAGTGCCTAATTTCAAGGTCAAATCTGCTGAACTTCTGAACTTTATTTGAAATTCTGAAGACAGTATTGAATGTTGAAAGCCACCAATTGTATTCAGTAGGCTCAGAAGCAATGGCCTTCATGCCCTACACAAATTCCTGCATATACATGTATGACAGCACGAGATCAAATTCCTATAATCTTTAAATAATCAAAATGTACTGGACCAGATGTGACATGCTTACCAATATTTCACACAAGGTTATAAAATTTTATTAGTTTTAAACCATTGCTCAATTTTTAGGGGTTAAATGCAAGGATGATGTCATTCATAATGTTAGTATTGAGCCATGCAGGTATACCAGCAGGCTGGACTGGTGGTGGTATTCATACACCTGTATTTGTAAGACACAGCAACATTTTAGTGTCAGCCACCGGGGCAACAAAGCATGACGAGATCTTGTGTACTGTGGAATACTTCATTTTCGCTGGAATTAACTTTCACTGAAAAGGCTTTTTGGGCGTTTTGTGTGGAATTTATTTTCACTGATTTTTGATGAGTTTAATGTGAAGTATAGGAAAAAAAGTATATTCGCTGGATTTTATTTTCACGGAAACATCCCTTCAGCGAAAATAGCGAAAATAAATTCCAAGCGAAAATAAAGTATTCTACAGTATTTTAAATTCTCACGATGTAGGACAGTTGTGTGTATAGTGTCTTGGCTTTGTAATTTACTTCTGAGCGAGTTATGTGACTAATTCTGCTTTGTTTCCCTATGATTCATTTGGGTCAATTATTGTTATGCAAATGAAGCAAACAATGAGGCAGCCATGTTTGAATTTGAGAAAGGCCGTACCGGGTTGTAGTACAGGCGGGGCAGTATCAATGTTTTGAGATCTTCTGTATCAGTAGTCTGACAATTGTGTACCCTTTGCCAGTCTGATAAAACAAGATTTGGAATGAATATATTCTTTCAAGCTTGCTGATAATTGTGTGAAGCCCTGACTTTACAAGTGTTGAGCAGAGCCCGGCAACACCCTCCAAAGCATACATGAACCAATCATTAGTTTCCCTTTTGTACTTGCTCACTTATAATGTGAACATTTACATGTTGGTTCAACTCTATATATTACAATGTCTTGGTTGTAATTTATCTACGCTTTGTTTATTCATAAGTAAGTGAGTTGTGCCTGTTTAACAAGTACCATAATACTGTAAATGCGTTAATTATTCACTGGGTTTTAATTTCGCTATTTTCGCTGATAAGTAAAACCTGCTAAATTAAATCAATGTGAACATGTAAATAACAATAAAACTCATTGTTTCCTTGACAAATTTGTGAAATTAAAACACAGTGAATATGCTCGAAAAATAAAAATAGTGAAATTATATGTCAGTGAAAATAAATGGTTTCACAGTATTGCCTTCTGATACAGTAACACATGTGTTTAAAATGTCAGTCTTTATGCAATTAACACAATGCTAGGTGACGACTTTAGTACTTTATCATAGTAATGCCCTGTTTAAACCATTTACTTTATTCGAACACTTTTAATGTGGAGCCAAAAGTTATTTCAGTTGTCTTCCATATTTCTTTGTCCTACTGCCTAACCTAAGAGATTTCTGCTAGTATACAGTGTAGCTGCTCTTGTGTTTTTGTGTCTTAACTTTAATGTACTGTGTTCTCATTTAAAGGGGTCCTTGAAAATCGAATAAATTGTCACAATAAAACTATTATTAGTATTCAACAGAGCAGCTGAACTGAACACAACGTTCAATCCTTTCCACAGGTTGTTTGATAAAAAAAATAGTTAAACATGTATAAAAGTTTTTAATTTACAAAAAAATAAAACTGACTTTCAACTCCTATTACTGGATGTAATGAAATTCTTATTTTTTGGCATGACTACCATACATTGCATAACAGTTTTTTCCTATAGATTGGCACTAGACCGGCACTCTAATTTACAAATCAACAAGTTAGCATTTTTTTTTACTGTAATTTGATTTATACTTCATAGAATTAATGGGAAAATAAAACTGACTTTCAACTCC